CTGTTTTAAAATTTAAAGCACAAGCCTGAAGGAAGGCTAGCTAGGTGGAGACATGTTCAGCCACCAGTGGGGAAGAACTAGCCTTAATGCCCTGAGGGAGCATTTACTGCATTCTTTTTCTGTCCAGGAGAGATACAGTTGCTTGGAAACTGGCCCTTCTCCTCTAGGGCAGCAAAACAAGGGAAGCTAGACCATTAATGGTTTGGGGGCCTTCCTATAGCCAATCAGTTCAAAATGCAGTATCCTTTTTGTGTTTCGACCAATAGATGCTTGCCAGGTAGGAATCCCCCTGCTTTGGGCATGCTGGGAGGGACCAGACTGGACTCTTTAAATGACCCAACTAACCTGAGCACGGGGCTCTTGGCTCTCATCTGTTCGGTAGTGAGGGTGAGGGTGTGTGAGCCCAAGGTGTAGCTTGTAATATAAAGAACCTCATGTGTTTGCAAGGGACTAGAATCTTGGTGGTGGTCTTTCGGGGTCTCGAGAATCGGACACAAGTCCTTCCTTCTTCTTTCCTTCTTTCCTTCCTTCCTTCCTTCCTTCCTTCCTTCCTTCCTTCCTTCCTTCCTTCTTCCCTCCCCTTCTTCCCTCCTCTTTCTCTTTCATCCCTTCTTCTGGAGCGTACTTCCTGTGAGTACTAGCTCAAATGTCACTTTCTTTAAATATCTGCCCAGGCTTCTCAGGAAAACTCAAATACTGCCATATTTAACATTTTAGCTTATTGCCATTTCCCTTACATTTCCCTAACTCTGTTTAAATTTGTAATTTTTGCATTAAATTCTCAAATTTCAACACACTGCACACATTTTAAACATTTCCTAGTCATTATTTAATTTCCTTGTTGACTGAAGTGGATGAGTTATCAGCAGCATAGATTTGTTTCTGAAGGTTCTAGGCTGAAATCGGAGGAACAGTGTTTCTAGCGCTGCGGGGAACTCTCTTCTGGGTGACGACTCCCCTCCTGTGGTAGAAAGCATGACTGAACTCTTACAACATCCCTTCTTTTTACTTGCATAAGTTTCTAACTCCTGGCCATGTTGACCCAAGTCATCATATCAATGAATGGACTGTAGACAGCAACATCTTTGTGTACCGCAGCCTGTTAGCATAGATGGCCTGTTGTCACCACTGCCTTTTAAAGGCCTAGAACTCAGGTCAGCTTCTAGTAGCTGAATGATAAATATACCCTAGTTAAGTCAAGTCTCTCTACATAACCTACTACCTCCTCTCCCTTTTCATGGAAATAGTAGGGTTCAGGTTTCTTCACATTTAATTAGCTAATTAGCATGTTAATTGCATTTCCTGTTCATCCTCTTTAATCCCTTTCTTTTACTGTTGGCTGGTTTTTCTTCCTTAAAGCCGGAAATTATCTTCTTAGAAATTTTCAATGTGAGACACTGCATATTGAGGCTCTTTTCAACACGGGTCTCAGTCCAATCAAGACTCATCTCTTCACACCTCAGTGGATTCTGACAAGCAGCTATACATTTCTAACATCCGGGAAATGTTTGTTGACATCACAGTTAGAGGTTCCATATGCAGTAAAAATGATTGTCACTGGACAAGATGAACGAGAAGAATCAAAGCAATTTGAACAAAAATGAAACTGAAGCCACAAAGAAGAGCACACGGTATTTCCACTTGGGAATTATACTCATTCCCAAATGCCTTTTACCTCCACCCTCATGTTCTGCCCCTTCTGAGATTAACTGTATGCAGGTCTAAAACAATAATTTCTTTGAACTGTGAATGTTTTGTCTTTCCACCAGTATTCTGTTTTCCCTTCACCTAGCTTCCTACATCCTTTCTATAGGAAACAGTGATTTGAAAATCTCATGCTTCTTTCCATCTCAAATTCTTAGAGGCATCTTTGATCAGAGGTTGTAGATGGTTTATATTTCTGATTAGAAAAGTGAGGAAGCCAGGCGTGGTGGCACACACCTTTAATCCCAGCACTCATGGAGGCAGAGACAGGTAAATATCTGTGATTTCAAGGCCAGCCTGATCTCCAAAGTGAGTCCAGGACAGCCAACCCAACACAGAGAAACCTCGTCTAGAAAAACTAAAAAAACAAAAACAAAAACAAAACTGTGTGTATGTGTGTGTGTGCACATGAATGTGTGTTGGGGGGTTTTCAAGTGAGAGGGTATTCCAAATGTTTACAATTAAAAAATCTCTAAATGGGTTCCCTAGTAAGGGTAGTAGGGGCGGGGCTATCTCTGGCATAAACTCAGTGGCAAGCTCTCTAATCACCCTCCACCCCGGGGGGAGCAGCATTACCAGGCCACAGAATAAGACAATGCAGCCAGTCCTGATGAGACCTGATAGGCTAGAGTCAGGTAGAAGGGGAGGAGGACCTCCCCTATCACAGGACTAGGGGAGTGGCTTAGAGGGAGAAGAGGGAGAAGGGGTGGGATTGGGAGGAGGCTAGCGAGGGGGCCACAGCCTAGATACAAAGTGAATAAATTGTAATAAATAATAAATTAATTTTTTTAAAGTCTTGTTGTCTCAATATTCTCATGCAATGGTTGTCCAAATCAAAATTGCAATAACCGAAGATGTAGAAACTAATGTAAATTAATTTGATATGATATAAAAGTATAAATATCATAAATGGAGTCATTGAAAATTTGGGGTTATTTATAAGAAACACAGGTATGTCTACTTTGACGTCTCCCATATAAGTACTAACTATTCCCCGTCCTACTTCCATATCAGATGACTGGCTATATTCTGAGTGGCGTGGCCTTGAGTGTAATGATGTTTATGACAGAAACCCATCATGAGAAGCATCAAACATGATTTATTTTAATGTAGATTAACAGAAATTTATATTTTGGCTTTGAAGAGAAAAGTTTTGATGTACTTCACATCTTCTAATTACAATAATTTATTATTAGAAGAGCCTTTGCCAACTATGACAATGAACAATAGGTCACACTGTTACTCCAAACACATGTACTTCACAAAACAGCATTACACTAGTTGGCAAGGCCCAGGAAGAAATTCAAATTCTTAATCAATGTCATTCCTTAATAAATACTCAAGAAGATGCTACCAGCTAGGTATCCAGAGTTTCTCGGGTAATGAAGCTCTCTTTTTAATAAAACGAATGTGTAACTAACTCTGTTCAAACATAGACAAGGGAAAAAGCACAACATGTCCATTACAATGCTAGCACACAATGCAATGACAACAGGGAAGGTCTGTGAAGACCAGGAACAGCAGGAACTCGCTTACATGGCTGAGAGAAATGTGAAGTGTGACAGCTGCATGAAATGCAGTTTGGCAATTTCTTTAAAAATCATATTTCATTAATGTTTTATTTACTCATCATACTCCTTGGGTACACATCTGAGTGAGCTGAAAGCAGCTTGCTATACAAGTCTGAAAACAAATGTTTTCTATATTTCCTTAAACAGCTCTCAAACTTACAAGCAACTTGAGCATGTGAATGGATAAACTGATATGTAAAGAAATTTTCTATAATCTCTCTCTGTCTCTCTGTCTCTCTCTCTCTCTCTCACATACACACACCCCTGTTAAGTGAAAGACGTCGATATGAAACATCTATCTATGGCATGACTCAAGTTACATCACATTCTGGAAGAGACAAAATTATAGAGGTCAAAATTTACTGTAGCTTGCCAGAATATCAGCAAAGAAGGAAAGGGTGAACAAGGTGAACAGGAAACTTTAGGACAGTGCATATGAACAGTAGCGATGCTCGTCAAAACCTAGAGAATAGTCATTCTAGCAGGAAACTATTCTATAATGACATACATAGGAAGGTACCAATATTAAGTCATCAATTATAACAAATTATTACACAAATTAGAATATCAATAACAGTGCAAACTAGATGTGGTTTGAAAGATTTTACCCAGAAATTCTCTTTAGTTGCAAAATGAGCTTTTCTGTGACCATAAAAATGTCTTAAATGAAAGACACAAAACCAAGCAGAAAAAAAAAAAAAAGTCTAGGAAAAAAAAAGCATCTAGAAAAGCAAATAGAACCATGAGAAGGTAAAAGTATTGCTAAGACAGCACAACTTCTAACATGTGATGAGGACATTTTCTGCTATCTTTCATGATAAGTGGAAGCAAAAGAAGACAGAAGGAGTCATAATGTTCAGGTCCTATGGGTCTGAAGCTTTCTCTACTGAAGAATTCTTTTCATACTGAAGGCTTTGTGTTAGGTCCCAAGTTAGTGAAACCTGTAGTATTTTTTGAATGACTGCAAAGATAACGGACTCAAGACTAAACTACAATCACTTAAATGCTGAAGTGAGTCTGAAAAGAATACAACTATGACAGATAACGAAGTATATTCATCACCTTTAGGGCTGACTTTGCCTGCTGTAAACTTTCTCAGAGCCCAAGTCAGCACTAGCTTGTGCCCAAGATCCTCCTGAAGAAGTACCGCTTTATCACTGTGGTAAAGACTCAGGAGGAAGTACTAAGCTCAAATTCCTTGGGACAAGATCGCAATTAGGGGCAATATTTAGATAAAACTGACTTTACCGAAGGTGTTAGAGCCAAAGTATTTGTTGTTTAATCAACTCTTCTAAGTCAAGGGTCTTATATTGAAAGTACATTAAAAGTAGGAAAACGTGAAGAATTCAAAAAGCCAAATGTTCATTTCTCCTCACCAGAACTTGCCCCATACTTGTTTTTGGGTGCAACAGTGTCAGCTCTGGAGGTTCTCAAGTGATGCCAGCTGAGGGCTGTTGTGAGCAGCTTCTTAAGTATCACATAGAAATAGCACCATAGTCCTTCCTATTGTTTGATACTTGATTTGCCATGTCACCTTTATTCAAGTGTGAGGATGTACCTGCTGTGCAATGATTTTGGAACCTACTTCACATTAAAGAAAAGGAGCATGAAGAGTGAACAAGCAAACTCCAAGCATCTTAATGTTTCCCATGACGACATCCATCTTTACACCAGTTTCACTAATTTTTCAAGAACACAAAACCAAACATAGGATTCAGCCATTACCTACGATGAACTCTTCCGTCTTCCTCTGAGAGTTGAGTCTTTTTTGATATACAACCCTTTGTCCCCTTCTGTACTCCACAATCCTTGATGTGTCTCTAACAGATCTAAGGGGAAGAAAAAGACAGAAGAAACCTTAACACTCTGCTGTATGTCATTTGGATTTTCTTTTGCCACTGAATACATTTCCACATATTCGGAAACAAGCTGTTGTATTAAAATTTGCATTGGGAGAACACTTAAAATGCGCCCCTTTCTGCTGAGCTGTGGTGACATGTGCCTTTAATCCCAGCACTTGGGAGGAAGATGCAGGCAGATCTCTGAGTTAGAGGCCAGCCTGGTCTACAGAGTGAGTTCCAGGACAGCCAAGGCTACAGAAAAACCCCTGTCTCAAAAAGCATACACACAAACAAACAACAGCAATAACAACAACAACAAAAGGCCTTTTCTTTTTTTACATCATGGATGGCTCAATAGTTTTAGCCACCTCTGGGAAATGTTGTCTTCACTGGCTCCATACTCGTTTAAACTATTTTTGACCATTACATACTTCTTTTGTAATCTCAGTAATATCACCAAGGTTTTCAGTAAAAGGAGAAGGTTGTCAGGCTTACGCAATCACTTTACTCATGAAGTGGACTAACACATTTTGTTGCTTAAAAATCTATTTTTTTTCTTTTTGACCTAAAACTCTATAGTGAAATCCTAGCACTCCATCACGCCTGTGGGAATGCTGACCTGAGTGAGCAGAACACTGTTCCTCAAGCAGCATGTTCTGGAGGACAGCCTTCAGCATCAACACAGGTTCCATGTGTCCATTTATGGAAGAACAACAACAAAAACTGGCTTTGGTTGTTACTCACAGACTTCTCTAATTCAGTTCAATGAATCCATTTTCCACAAGCTATTCTTGGAAAGCCTCTTAAGCTGCCTACAAACAGACAACACTGCTTTGTGAAGCTCCTTAGACATTCTAGCCAAGCCTACCCTTTACAGTCTTAAATATTTGTCATAGAAAATATGTTTTAAGAAAGGCTTACAGTGAGACATCTAATTTGGGAGCTCCCAAATCTTACAACCCATGACACTTACATAACCATTCACAGTATTATACCGATGCAAAGGGACACCGAGGGTGTAGATATGCAGAAATCTGGAGATATAGGGGTGTCCAGGTTCTTTCACAATCTAAAAGCAGACCTCCAAATCTTCTTGGCTTATCAAATGAGCCCTTTGGGAGGGCTCCTCGTACAAAGATATGAGTTTGGTGACTCTTTCAAATGCTTCTGTTAAGAATCATTATATATACTTTCAGAACTCTTAGCAGCAAATCAGTGGAAACTCAGAAGAGGTCAACTCCAAACTCTTCTAAGGACCAGGACGTGGTCTTGTAAAGGTACAGATTTTTCATTACTAATCCCGTTGTTTTTAACATAGGTAATATCTTGCTCCACAATAATCACATCATTCATCTATAATACAGATAAATCTAAAAACTTTTAAGTTGAATGAAATAAACCAGGCACATAGTTTTGCAAACCAGGTCATCTTTGATTATATTCTATGAGTGTTTAGCAAAGGTAAAAATCAGGTCCAAGAATATGCAGCAGCATGGCTACACATGGTTCACAGAGGTGCATCATAAGGAAACTGTGGGTAACAGCAGACAAATTCTGCATCTTAATCATGATACTGATTACATAGATACACCCACTAAGCCAGACTCAAGTGAACTAGGCCCTTAAAATCTGTACATCTTGTAATTAATGTATACCCTGATTAAAAAACCAAAATTTTCATAGCTACCTCTTAATTTTTTTGAAAGACTGTGAGTCATGGCTCCTATAACAAGGAATATTTACTCTTTCATTTTTATTTTTTTTGCCAGTGAAATGTATTCTTTATCCCTGCGTTTGTTTTTCCACATAAGGGTTGTCTATGAACGAAGCATATAATCCCCAAGGTGATATAGGTAGTGTGCTCTATAAAAAGGAGTAGTTAACGTAGAAGTAGCCTCCTCCCCGAAGCTTAGCTTATTATGGAAAACAGACAATTAAAATGAGCAAAACAAGAAAAAGAAGAGAGAGAAATATGGCAATTGCTGTGTTTAAACTAAGGCCTGTACTAAGCAAGAAATCCACTTTAAACCAAACCACGTGATAACCCATGAAGAGACTAAGTCACTAAAAGCTGATGGAGTATTCAGACCAATGGAAACACAGCAGCATTTTCTACACAACTAAGCCAGCACATTCCCCCCCCCCCCCCCCCCCCCCCCGCCCCCCATACACACACACAACCGCAAATCAAAAGAGCAATTATTTCGAAGGCCAGACTGGGTTCAGCCATTGAAGACCATTTTTGCTTTTTTGCTCTTATTTTCTTAAACCGAATTTAGGTCTCTTACACCCTCAGGCAGTTTATATACAGCTGTCCAGGAGGCTAAAATGGTGTTAAGTGACCTTCTTTCTGGTGAGCAAATGCCAGCTGGGAAGACAGGTGCCTCTACTTCTGGTAATGTTGCTGCCAGTGAAAAAGACGCAGGCACTCTTAACAAACTGTGCCATGCAAGCTCTTGACAACTCCAAGCTGGGACTGGCAGCATTTGACATATGAAACACAGTGACAAATACAAATAGACTAATAGTTTAATAATAAATATTATTATTTATTAGTTGAATAAAGAGTAAAAATGATAAATAGACAAATCTGACATCAAACCCTTTTAGGTAAACATGCCTCTCACCCACTCCCAACACTTCCAAATGAAAACATTTTTTTCAACCATACCTTTTTTAAAGCAAATGAAAAATTTCCATAGCCAACCAAGACTACAAATCCTCTCAGTTCCCCTTTGTGTTTTTTAACTAATTCTTGCTAAAAGGAAGGAGTCATTATAAGATTAAAGAGACTAAAGAATATGATTATGCCAAAATTAAGTGTGAACCATGTAATTGAGTTACTAAACTCCCAGTCTCGGAGGAAGCATTCATACACTTCAATATCTAAAGGAAAAAGACAGCATAACATTTGAAAGAATAAGTGAAGACAGAGCAAACTAATGAAAAGTTTAGTTTAAAAATCAGCCTTTGGCAAGAAGTCTCCTAATGAAGAATGATCCTATATCGAGTCATCTAACATCCTTAACATTGCCTTCTCTCTGGTCTCTCTTTGTTTTCCTAAACTTTGGTCAGAAAATGCAGGATTTCTCTAACTGTATTGTGGTAGGATGGATATGGCCACTTGAAAGGACTAGAGAGATGGCTCAGAAGTTAAGAGTACTGGCTGCTTTTGCAGAGGACCACAGTCAGTTCCCAGTGCCAACATCACAGCTCATGAAGCCTGTAACTATGTCCCCAGACCTGTCGCCCTCGTCTTTATAGACAACTGCACCACAGTAAGTGCACAGTAAGTGCACATAATGTGAGCTCTTGTTTACAAACATGTGCACACACAAACACACAGATAAAGCAGGGGCAGTCTCTCCCATGGACTCCATTGCCTGCTCTTTGATCACATCCCCCAGGCAAGGAGGCCTTACTAGGCCTCAGAGGAAGAGGATCCTGAAAGTCTTGATGAGACCTGATAGGCTAGAATCAGATAGAAGGGGAAGAGGACCTCACCTATCAGTGGACTAGGGGAGGGGCATAGGAGGAGAAGAGGGAGGGGGGATGGGACTGGAAGGAGACCAGGGAGGAGCCACAGCTGGATACGAAGTGAATAAATTGTAATAAATAATGAATAAAAAATTAAAAAAAAACAAAGTGAATAAATTGTAACAAAAATAATAATAACAATAATAAAAACCTAAGAACTGAGAAAGAAACTATTCAAATGGCCGCTTGAACCCGAACTGCCTGAGATTCTATACAACTCTGTAAGGTAACAGTCAGTGCCTAGTCAGAGAAAAGTAGTTCGAAAAAAGTAAAAAGATACTTGGCTTTCTCACACTTGTCTATGACAAGCTGGAAGAAATATCTGTGTAAGTTTTCCATATTTAATATTTAACAAAAATATATAATTTGAAAAAAAACATATTTTAACAAATTCTGATTTGGAATCAGATGTTACAGTACATGACTTAGAGAAATTGGAGGCAGGAGAATGAGGTCAGTGTCAGCTAAAATGTCCATTCAAGGCCACAGGGACACACTGGAGATGCTATCTCTAAACAGAACAAATGTTGTCTACAATAAAATAGTTAATATTCAACGACTTAGTTATTAACAGAATGGTTTTTGAATATTTTTACATATATTTTTCTTTCCTTAAATTTCTATTATCTATACTACTTAAACACTTCTATATTTTGTATTTCTATTGTTTCTTATAAAAAGCAATCTGTGTTTTCTGGTCATTGTTTGGTACTGATATCTTCATATACATGACAATTTGGAAATTCATGAAAGAAATTATTGTATTGAGGTTATTATAAAGATACACAGATACTTAAGAGATTTGAATCTTTTTTTAAAATCCAATTTTATTTATATATTTATTACAATTTATTCACTTTTTATTCTCACTGCAGCCCCTTCCCTCATCTCTGCCCAGTCCCATCCACTCTACCTCTCTTCCCCTTAGCCTAGTCCCTTGATAGGGGAGAAACTCCTCCCCTTCAACCTGACCCTAGCTTATCAGACCTCATCCAGGCCTGCTGCATCATCTTACTCTGTGGCTTGGCAAGGCTGCACCTCCAGGGGGCTGCTGTGGAATACAGAATTATGGTAGAAAATTTTTCCAGAGATACAGAAATTAGTGATAGTATTTACTGCATATGAATAGTAAGAGACATTTCAAAGCTTTGATTTAGTTCTGACCTGGTGCCATTTTTTTTCTTCAAGGTCCTAGGGGGGTATATCCTTTCCTTTAAAATAATTCATAGCTGAGGCAATGGAGACAGAGATAAAAACAAACCCCCAGACATTTCCATGCTATTTTTCATGGACTATACAACTGTATACATAAGCCAATAAGGTATGTTAGTTGGGCACTCAATTTTCTACATGAAGTCAGAGCAACTAAAACATGTTTCATAAATATTAGCTGAGAAGCTGTCTTGAGATAATGGCATCTAAAGTAGTTTTTACACTGCTTTGATTTTTAG